GAGAGAGAGAGAGAGACGTAGAAAGATTTAGATTGTCAAGAGTCTCGTGCATTTTCTTATAAAATCCCATTGATAGATTACACATAGCCCGAAGGAACATGAGAAAGATTGTGCGATTCAAGACTAGTGTGTATCATGATTGCAATGTTTAAATGTTTAAATTCAAAATTTAATTTCGACGGATATGACGGATCCCTGATTGTAAGATACTTGTGCAACGATGAGGCGTGCGTGGAAAAAAATAATTGCGGGTAAAAGTATTCTTTAATACGAGAGAAAAAATAAGTAAAATAAGAAAAAAAGAACAATCAAGATCAAAAAGGTCAGAGATTTCCTGTAAGAGTACTTGTATATTGTTAGAAGGAACAAATCTTAAAAACACACTTTTATGGTAGATTAAGTTCCAAACAACACAACTGCCAACGGCAGTGGCCCATGCACTTCCCTGTTTCACGCTCGTGTGTGAGTGCATGCGTGTGCTTTCATGTGCACGGATTTTAAAACAAATTGGTGCGTATTGATCGATGAGACGTGTATAATTTTAGTATACCCATTATTCTCCGGTATGAGACTTACTTGAGTTATGTCATGATCGACAATGCAAAACGTAGGAAGAGATTCATGCTTTATAAGAGTGATCATTTTAATATATTATATCTACTATTAGTAAAGATTTCACGATGAGACAAAGTGAAAATGGAGACATGTGTAGGTGCACAAAAGAGAACAAAAAAGAACAAACGAGAAAACGTAAGTAGGAAACGCGAAATCGTAACCGTGCTAAAAGAAATGTGCTGATTGTTAACGAATTAATAATCGTCCGTGTAAGTGAGACAAAAACAAAAGAGAGAAAATGTAAAAAAATCTCTTATCTCTAATCTCTAAAAATATATTTACTCTTGTTTTGTCAAATTGGATGCGGCGACGATGATATACGGCGACCTTTCGCGCGATCACCATTTACTTTTCGACGTCAGTGTTTCCAGAAATCATCAAATACTTAATTTCCATTCGTCGCCTGGCTAATAAATACTCTGGGCTTTAGCGTACGGCAAAATGATTAACGACATGTGAAATTGCTAGTCTCTTCTCATGAACCGATGAAGAATCGATGTAAATTAACTTTGACTTGAAACAACTTTGACTTTGAATTCCAAACAAAAGAATCACGTCGATTCACGGAACTATAAAGTGATAATATAACGTAGCGAGTAGCGATTGACGATCATACGACGATTAATGATTAAAACAACATAATAATGTTATGATAATGTTATGATAATGTTGTGATAATGTTATTGATATTGTTAGTAAATTGATATTTTACTGATGCACTGGATGTTAATTTAGCTACTACTAGCGAAACTAAAACTCAAAATTATAACTAATGTCATTATTTCTTGTGTCTTGTATATCTTGAAATTTGGCATTAATGCTTAATTAGTGTGATATCTCTATAAAATTCGTATTAAAAAATTCCCTCAAAATAATGTCATTGATGTTGCCACGCGTAGACCGATCGTGCAGGCATTACTTTCCCATGTTTCGGTTTTACCTAATTTCGTAACTTCCGCGTCAATGTATAGGGCTTGAATTATGATACGTTTGGTAATAAAATTCAAAATATCATTGTTTCATTGTGTTGCGAATATTTATTCATTGCGTTGCGTCACATCCGATTTTAACGATCTGTGACACGATAAAACGCACGAGGCATGGAAGTTATTTTGAATCGTCATGCTCGTAATATATCTCGGGACATGACGGCGTTAAAATTGAAACGTGTCGATTTATTTTTACGTGATATCGTACCAGAACATGGTACGTATCGTCTCTCGAAGTATCTCGAAGATTTAAATTTGCCCTCTCGCTTTTCTTTTTCTTTCTTCCAGTATTGCATGCACGTGTCTTTTCGCGCGATATAGCCCCAGTATAATAGTAGCCAGGTGCTCGAGACATCAACGTTTTTAATATCGCGCTTCCTGCCTGCCTCCACACCAAGGGGATTATTTGTTTCCACGTTGATTATTTTCAGCGAACTAGAACGAGCGAAGCGGACTACTAGGTACCCACTGTCACGATTCTCCGGGATATTAATTTAAAGGAAACGCAATTCATGCGCAATTCGTGGAAACTTATTCATCTTGTTGTTCGTGGAATATTATATTCTTATTATCGTACGACGATGCATCGACGACGGTTGATAAATACAATAGTAACGGTAATTATATTCAACGGACACGTCGAGAAAGGGTCTGAAGAGAAAAATGTATGACACGAGATACAAAGAGAAAAAAATCTATTATGTCTATATGAATTAATTGAGAAATCGTCGATATTCTTCAAGAGAGATACTATTCATTTTAAATTGGGAGATATTTAACTGTGAGGAGACACTGGACAATCGCGCGGACAATGGATACCTTCATGTTTTTCGAGGCTGGGCAGGATTCGACAAAGGTTTGTACCTGCGTCTAGAATGATGTCGCCAACGCTGTCAAGACTACCGTAATCGTCGTACATGTCAGCCACGTCCAAATTACTGGTAAATGCGAATGGCCAATGGTCATTACCTAATGTACCTCTGCTAGCGGACTTGCACCCGAACCACCAATACGCTGTCGATCTTGGGAAAGCGGGATTAGCGTCGTCCACCTGTGAAATCGAAAAGATATCGCTCGACTTGATATGACATAATATAATATATCTTTTATGGGATTTTAATGGGTGTCTATCGCGAGAGATCCCAATGGGGGATCTGTCGCGCGTCAAGAGAGCTACTCCGTAGTATCGTAGATCGTATTGAAAAAGACCGATACTATTTTCTAATCTGTCTATCAATTAAAGTATCACATATTGTCAATTATATAACATACAACTAGAAATAGAATCAAAGTTAATGTAAAATCCACTGTGCTTGCCTTAAATTGTCGATCGTTGAATCGATAATAAGCGTTATCTTGAAAGAAATACGTGTAGCCCTTGTAGGTCACTGCCGCGTTGATGGGATTCGGTATGCCTTCCCAGTTTTGGATGAGTTTAGGATAGTTACTTCTTACCGGTGGTTTCGACGCCGGATCGAAGCGCCAGAATTTTGTACCTTTGTAGAAGTAAATCTTGCCGTTTCCGGTCCAAACGGTAGCCGCGTCGATGTTATCGGGAATACCGGTAAAACCATCGCTAATTTCCTTCGGATAGTCACCGTCCATAGTCGTATTAATGTATCTCCAGTACTGCGTGCCCTGAAAAGTGCAAAATATAAAGTTGCGGTGTCACGCGGTCACAGGTGAAGGAATTAACTTTTCGTCTCGCTCGTCTCGTTTGGTCAGCGGTAAACGGTTACCTTGAAAAAGTAAGTCTTGCCATTTCTGTATGTAAATGCAGCGTCTATGTTTGCCGGAAGCTCCTTCCACGTACTACTAATACGTCTAGGGTATCCGCTAGCCACACCATTGTCCGTTAATTTCCAGTAATATTTTCCTAAAAATTCCACAAATTCCTCGGTATTCTCGCCTCGTCTCGCATCTCCGAGATGAGGTCGAAGGACGTCAAGGCGGAGAAGGCCCGAGAGATACGGTTTATAAGAGAGATTACAACTCGCGCATACGTACCTTTGAACACAATTATCTCGCCGTCTTTCGTATCGAACATCGTGTCGACCTTGGGATCTTTACACAATTCAGGATCTTCTTCGGCAGGCGGCAGAGGCTGCGATCTTCGCGAATTAGTTTTCGTCCCATATAGAGCCTGAAATGATTTCGTATGGCTATATTCAAGGCACGTTGCTATTCGCTGCTATTCTATGCTCGCGAATAGAACGAACGCCTTTGAAGCCGCTACCTGAATCGCGCTAATATCATCTTGATCCAGAGTAAAGTGTGGATCATAGCCGCGATAAAATGGTGCCATTAAGGCGCTCTTGACATCGCTGTGACTCAAACCGAGCGAATGCCCGAATTCGTGAGCCGCGACCTGGAAGAGATTGGTACCGCGATAACTTCTGATCGTCCATCGTTCGGCGTCGTCGAAGTGGGCATCACCACCGTATACGGGAAAATACGCGTGTGCCAAAGTACCGCCAGGCCCGTCAAAAGGGTCACCATCGCCGTGCTCGCCCACTTCGAATCTGATTTCGATGTGAACCTAAACGAATTACGTGTTTGTTCAGAGAATATATTATAATACATCGACATACATAGGACATACATAGGTAGGCAGAAATAGGCATAAACATATGTGTCCTTCGTTCTCAGGACCATATGGACCCTTACGTTTTCGTGCCCTTTTTTACGGGTGAACGTCAGGTCGGTTTCACCCGACCAAACGTTGAACGCGTTTGCGATTTCTTTGTCCACTTCCTGTTTGTTCAGACCAGTTGGATACTTGCTAATTTTATACGTCAGGTTCTTTGTACGCCATCTGGAGCCTACGAGATACGAAAATACGTCACGAAAATACGTACGTACATGAGAGACACGTAGAGAAAGGAACGCAGGAAAATGTTTGCTTTGTTTAAAAATAATGCGACGCACATTTGTCGTTTTCGCGCTCGCGCGCGTACGCACATCCGTTGGCACATCAGCCAACGACGTCCGTTGTTCGTCGTCCGTTTGTTCGCGCTTGTGTCGTCTGCCGTCTATTAGGTGCCGTCAGCCTTCTATTCGCCGCTGCACCTAATAGACGCGGCGAATAGAAATAAATCTGAACGCGATACGTTCCAATTGTCGAATATCGTTACGATGTCGCGAATACCCGACTATTGTATTGTTCGTGCATGACGTGCGCAACAGTTACTTATCAACTGTTTATAAGAATAAAAATCGCGGCTCGCGTGTTACGTGCGATCATTACATTTACATGGTTTACGATTTATGCAACAGTGCGCGCGGCAATTATACCCACGGGGTCGTACGTACCGTACATACATACATACATACATACATACATACATACATACATACATACATACATCTCACATGACCCTTACGCAACGATTCGTTCGTTACTCGTGTCTCTCTATTACGTACGCGAGATTCGAAAGAATAAAATGAGGGAATGTAGCATGTTAGGCTGCGGATCAGCGAGTGTCGAGTATTGTGCGACAGACGGATGCATTCCGTAGGAAATGCCGCGCAAAAACACACACACACACACACACACACACACGCATGGCCGAACCGAGGTTGACACCGAGGTTTCAGGGTTCACTGAAACGTGAAACGCACGTGTGCGGGTTCAAAGTCACGGTTAGCCCGCGCGCGTAAAGCTGCAATCGCTTTATTATTATTCTATCGATATCGTGTCGTCACGTGTCAGAAATGTCTTTGCCAGGACTTTTACTTTCGTCACACGACCGAACCGTTCAAACGTTCAAAATTTTTATTCCGAATCAGCGAGTCAAGTGTCGAGCGTTTTCCAGCGAGATATTCCGAGATATTCATTTCGTTATAGATGTAATAAATATTTCACCGAGAGAAATATATCGATGCACGTGCACGATGCATCGTTACATCGTTACACGTCTCGTTCGAATATACGGGGAATTTTCGGAAGAATCGCTAAAAGAAATTAATAGAAGCGAGATGTGTTATAATGTGGATGTTTAATTGAAATGAATTTATATGACTGATTTAGAATGTATTTGGAACATCCGACGGACACACCACTATCGCGATGTAAATCTACATGACCCGTTTAGGGTGACTGACTCTATACCAATGACTCGCTGTGGCTAAGCGAGGCAACGGGAAGTCGGAGAATGTATGATTCACCGTAAAACAGAAGACATTGCAACCAGTGCCAAATAATCTGTGTGTATTCGATGTAACCGATTTCTTTCGATATTTGGGTTTTTGTAGTGGCTTATTAATATAGCCAACTTTCCATTTTAGTGTTTTATGTAGTGTTTTACTTTCCATGAGTTTCGAATAGGGAATGTCCGTCGATTAGATAATCGATCGCGCGATCGATCAAACGTAACGTTATCACGTTCCGCGGTTACGTCTATAATCTGAATTGCATGAAACTTTCTCAGATTTGTCAATTACAACGCGCAATGATTACTCCCGCAAACTAGCAAATCTATTAATTTTTCGGTCAAGCTTTATCGAATATTTTATACTCACCCTGAAGAGCGTATCTTTTCGATCTTCCATCGGCAGCTGGCCCAACTTTATCTTTTACACCGCATCTCGGTGTAGCCATAAGCTTGGCGGTCTCGTCATTCAATTCACCTGGAATAAAGAAATATTGAAATATATTTGACGATTACTACGTATCGTTATTCATATCCCATAGAATTAAAGAATGTTTGTGGAAAATCTCTGTATATAGAAACCAATAACTTGCATTTTATGCGTCTCCTAATTGTCTCATCACAGTAATCGCGTGATAAAATAATTTATTCTCGCCCGGATTCTCGCGTATATCGATTTTTGAGATGTACCCGTCAACGGATATACTTTCTAGACACAAGTAAACGCTCTTACGCGTATATTTTCGTATTCTGTGCATGTATTAACTTTTTATGCATCGTATGCATATATGCGTAATATCACTATGCACTAGTTTCTCGTAGCACAATCATGCGATTCGATATTTACAGATTCATCGTTACCAACATAAATTGTCGTAAAGATGATAGGCCATGATTTTTCTAAGCCTTAACTTTGCAAGAAATGTATCCCATAAAATAATTTTAAAATTTTCAATGTTTCGTTTGGCAGTTATTATAAACGTACTCGTATATTTTATCGAGTACTTTGCCTCTATCGTGAAAAAGATGTTGTAACAAACTCTCCCCCCCTCTCTCTCTCTCTCTCTCTCTCTCTCTCTCTCTCTCTCTCTCTCACTCATTCACTCACGGAGTTACATTCATTATCAACACTAGTAGACGCATCAACATCGTGACGTAGATTAAGGCCGATAAACATACTTTATCTCGAATAATTGCACCGATGGCCTACAATTTTACAGTTAGATCACTCTTCCGTTCACCTTCGGTTTTTATTGGACTCCATTGCTTGTATTTCGCCCTGTCATGGACTCTCGTACGTACCACGCTATAGTTAGTAGTACCATTATAATGATCGGTAAAGTCTGTTTGTCGATCTTTTCCATTATCTCTTCTATTAACTTTTTTACATGTTTCTCGGTTTAGTATTGACTTATCCGATAACTTGTACGATATAGATATAGATATATTTCTCGTGCATGCGATGTACACGTTTGAATAAAAAGGTTTTATTTATTAAGTGCCAGTATATTTATATTTATTAACGGCACTCGCAACGCAATTTATTGGATTTTAGATTAGATATTTTTAGATATATTTCCTAGATTGAATATTTCCCAAGTTTTTTTCTGAAATGATAAATAAATCGCGAAATATGGCCAGTACAATAATGACTCACTGACTGAAGCATCAAGTTCGGTCGCGTTTCATCGAATTCTGAATCATGGTTGTTCATTGTCATTAACGGTCTAAATCGGCAGAGAGCCACCGACTCAGGGAACTCCATCGTGTTATCTTCAAGCGGTCTTATGTCAACGTGACGTACGAACGTCACGAAGAGATACGTGTTAGAATTTCACGTTCTGCTTTCTTTTTTTTTTTTTTTTTTTTTTTTAATTTACACGCATGCGCCACTGAATGAATACACGCATGAGTCCTCCTCCCATAATTCTTTGCGTGAATCACCAGTGTCGATGTATCCGTTAAGAGTCACAGACAACAGATATATAAGCTCAAATATATTTTCTTCTACAATTATACACATGTCTACGTATAGTCTACGTACAGTCATGTATGTATATGACATATGCAGTTTATGAAAATCAATTTAAGCGATTATACGAATAAATAAAAGTAAACATACCTGTTATGTTAAGGCCGGCAAACGCTTGGAATTCTTCTATCGCCGCTGTCAATTTCTCCTCGCTTAAAAAGGCACCATTTTCCGGATTTATCGGCGGTAGATATCCGTATTGCGCCAAGTAATTCTACAATAATTAAATTACAAATTTTCTTCAACACATTTTTCTCAAGTTTGCTATTACCATCTACACACTTATGCGAGTCTAGTCAAATAAAGATACAAGGTATTGGGAAATCATACGGACAGAAAATTTCCGCGTCATTTTGCAAAGAATCGGCCTTTAAGTTCTCATATAACGTCATAATATAACGTTAGTGTTTTATTTCACGAGCTTTATTTCACGAAGGTGAGTAAGTAAAGATAGGGAAACTTTTCTTATCGGCGAGCAAATTTACCGATGCCCTCGGCCGGTTTGTCGGTCGTTGCGTTTCGATCGTTTGCGTTGTATAATTACAATTGCGATTGCGCAGGTGGGAAATCTCTGTGTTAGCTATACCGTCGTACGGATCGCGTTCAAGTTTGGCTTTTGCCATTATACGCCAATATCGCTTATCTCGTTGTACGACGTACGAGTGCCAATCGTACGTGACATATTTCTAATTCACGAGCTAAAATATTCCGATATTCCGATTCCGATTCCATGTTACACAAGACGTGCCGTTTCCTCACGAGAAGAAGCGCGTGTCGCAAGAATGATACGATCCGCAGAAGAGCTGTCATTAGAGCCAATTCGGATGACGTTACGTTCAAAGTACAGATTACCTCCTTAAAAGTGACTCATCCCTTATATCGGGCACGGAAGGCACCGTCTGCTTCTCTCGCGCGCGTTCTACATTCGCGTAAAATTCGCAATCTTGACGAATAATCGTTTCTAACGTTGTAGGACGAACGGCGAGCTCGTGGGGGAACACGAGCTGCGTGGGGAATTAGCTAATCGATTTGCTATCGCGTCAATTCTTTCAACGCTATCTCCGTACTTATTGATTTTAGACTTTACGTAAAAGATGAGCCATTGCGCACGTTACGAACGTACGTACGTACGTACGTCTATTCTCCTAATGTCCCTAATGCGTCTAAGATGATGGCAAAGAGTTTGGTAGCGTTATCAATTTTGTGCTATTTTAATTTGAAGGAAATATATTTTGATAATACGGATCGTAACTGCCAGTTCAGAGTTCATAAGAAATTTAAAATATTTATTAAAAATTTGAAATATTGAAATCTATATATTTATAGGGAACGGATTTACATGGAGATACGACGACGTGTCGTCGAGCATGTAATACGATGCGTCGACGATGTAAGCAAAATATCCGACAATCGTCGTAAATTTCTATTGCGCAAACGATTCCGGCACAAGTCACGCGAGAATTACCAAAGTATCTCCTGTGTTCCTAGACCATGGATTAGACAAGTAACGATGACCGAGGGGACTGACCCAACTGACGGTGGAATTTACTGTTATTTAACTACAACAACAAGCTTACGTCCTGATTAATATTCCATCGATCGAATCGCATCACGAACGTCGGAATATCGTGTATTCATTACCGAGCCAGACGGCGGAAGACGAAAGCAATTCATAACATGTTGATTCCTTTGTACTATTCATCGCGTTCATGTCACCGCGTTAAGAATAAAATCATTTTTACCTCAAGATCGCGCGAGGAATCTTTAAAGCAAGGTGATACGACTCCGTAATTTAATGCAAAATTACAATACTCTGTCTCGCGTGATGAATTATACGGATTTAGGGAAAAAACTCGAATCAGATTTGGTTTCTGAATATTGGATCGATATAAATCGATCACGAGAGATGATTCGTAACATAACTGCCAAAGTTATGGCATGAGTCATGTCGTTGTAGGGAAAAGCGCACATAACAGGGTATACTCATTTAGATATTTTCACAGTAGTAAAATTCCGTGCATCCTTGTCGCCTTTGAGAGCAATATAGAATTTCCGAGAGTAACCCTGGGTCGCTGATTCATGCTTTAAGACAAAAATTAAACTTTTGCAGCTGCTTGTAGCTATATTTTGAAATTAATATCCATAATAGTTGTTTTTATCGCGTTGTACGTACATCGTTATGTCGTAGATATCCCTATAGCTTTTCAATCTTGTTTCTTGCGAAGTGAAATTCCATTAACAAATTTTGCAACGTATATATATATATATATATATATATGTGTAAAAGAAAGGAACTTGTATGGAATTTTCGAGCCATATCTCGTTGATATATATTATAATATTTTCGTAGAACTAAATGGAAATTTTTCTAGGACAAATATATAACGCTCAATTTCTGACTATCGTATTTCCTTTCGATCGAATGAATGGGATGATTCAATGTTCCTACGAGTCACAAATTTCGTAATTCACTCTATACGAGTCAGCTTCCGCGAAGGCTGAGATTTTTATGAATGAACATAAGTGGAGTGTACCCGTACTCACGTACGTGTGTCACGCGGGTGAATGGTTCCCTTCTCACCTCTCTTTTCCTTCTGTCCATGCATATGTTATATGTATGTGCGTGTGTATTTTCCTCATTCGTACACACGCACCACGCGCGCGCGCACACACACACACACACACACGTTGTAAAGTATATGCTGTACTACGGTGCAACTGAATCAGCCAAATGATGCGTTTTCCGCGTATTCGATCATGACTCGGCTTGGCACAACCGCGATAGAAGTGTCGCTGGAATTCAAGGTCCTTCTAGCGAATAGTGGATAGTGGATGTTGATCGGCAGCGATTGGCAGCGATTATCTCCAATTAATTACGAATGGGTGAAGTACACAGCGAGATGATTAACGGATTTACTGTCATTTCGATTGCACGCGCACGCGCCTGTATACTATGTGATGTTGCATAATTGTATACATGAATTCATGTATGCGCATGTTAACAAAATAAATAGGATATATAAGCGCAAATATGCATATATATATATATATATATATATATGTGTGTACGCATGAAACTTTCATATTTTCAAATATTCTTTTCTTATCTTAATTGCTCATTGAACTTTGAGTAAATTGTAACGATTTGATAACTAAACATAAGGAAGACTACATGTACAATTATAGACTTCGAACACGGAAGGTACACATATGCGCGATGATTATCCGGATGTTTCTTGTGTAATCGGAAATGTACGCGCGGAAAGATGCACAATACGTTGATTGAAACCTTGGTTACAATTATATTTCATGATCGCATGAATCGTGTCAGAATAGCCTGCTAAGTATAACCGAAGTAGATCTCTCTTCGTACCATGTGTCATTACAAAGAACGCAACGCCTACATTGCATGATTATCTGTCAAATTTAATCTGTTAATTTTATTCTAAGCTTTTTTGACCTCTTCTCAGAGGAGAAAAAAATTCCATTCAACTTTTTCGCGACGAAAAGAGAAATGATGTATTACCAGAAGATAATTATTCTGTCTGTAGACAAAAAATTAACAGAAATTTATCATTCATTATCTTCTTTCCTTTTCAAGTTATATCATACCTATTTAAAAAAAGAAAAGCTATAAGTATCCGTCATTAAATGGCGTCATCGAATACCGTATGAATTTTTTTATCTAAAATAATTTCGCGTCATTATCTACAAATTAACACGACGAATTTGGTACAAGAGATAAATATCTTATTTCTTATTGCTCAAATTTCTCGTAGACACGCTCACAAAACTTGAAATTTGTGAATGCCATTATCGTAATTTGTCATTATTGTAGTGAGACTCGTGTTAGACATGAATATTTATAGCCGGATTACCTTGAATCCGTGTCTCGTCCCAGGTATAACATAATACGATAATATTCTTTTATAAAAATACAATCCGCATCAAGTAGCTGCAGATTAGCAATGGCTAATTGGTTTTGCAGAGTTATTTAATATTGTCGATACAATTGTCATCTGAAACGGTGCTACGATGATTGCTATACATGTAACTTTTATAGAAAAGAAGTTTTCCGTATGTCTCTTCGTACATTCCTCTCGGTGTATATTAATCTTTTCGAACAAGAACAAACATTACTTGGTACATCAAGTATAATGTATCGTTCCCATGACTTTTGATCGTTAAAATTTCATGTTACTTGCGGTATCGTGACCATTGTTTTTTTGCTAGCAAGTTGTAATATACGGTGTTTAATCTCTCTGAACGATATCTCTAATTCGACAATCGAGATATTACAAAGATGCTGGCAATTAAAGCTAATAAATTGTTAATTTCTCTCTCTCTCTCTCTCTCTCTCTCTAAGTAGATTGAAAATTTGTCTAATGCTAACGAAAATAGATAAAATGAGTATCTAGGTCGACTTGTACAATTAGTAGATGGCAGGATGCTGCAAAGGCCAAGTGTTTTATGCTAATGAAAACTCGGACGACTCTATCTCTTCGAAACATAACATCTCTTCCGAATACCGGTTCATCCGGATAGGAATCATGTGCATGATATTAAGCGACATCTACAATGAGACGTAAGACGTAAGACTTAAGAAATTGATCAATCACAATCAGTTATTCTTCTATAAATCGATTATGATGCCATTATTGGCCAATGATCGATTATGATTATTATTGGCCAATTTCTTAAGTCTTACGCCTTAAAATCTCATTGTAGACATCGCGCATTAGTGTCGGTCCACAATAGGTGATTTAAGCTTTAAGAAGTAAGAAATTGACCAATTATAATCGAATATGATTGGAAAAGAATAATCGACTATGATTGGTCAATTTCTTACGACTTAAAGATTAAATACTTATTGTGGACCGACACTTAGGCATCGCTTAGACAACAGAGAAATAAGCCTTAAACCGTAAGAAATTGGCTAATCACAGTCGATTTATAGAAGAATAATCGATTGCGTTCGGTCAATTTTTTGCGGTTTAAGGCTTATTTCTCTATTGTAGGATTATTTCTCTAATGTAGTCGTGTCGAAAAATTTAATTTGCTCAATTTTCCATTTAATTGTTTCTATGTTTTATAATCGTCATCTCGTGATTATTAATTTTATTTCACAATTTCATTGAAAATCATTGAAGGTAACTATGCTTAGAATTAAATCCAGTTGAGTATCCAATGCGTACGTGAAATGCGTCTAAATGATTATGTACACGTATATTCGTATACACGTTCGTATACGCGCCGTATTTTATCTTGTCGCGTTATCAACGATAACAGCTTGGTTAACCGTTTATACGTGTTCATTTTTTTCTTGACGAGTTCTTGACGAGAAACGCGAATAACGTGTCAGACATAAATCACACATGATTTTCGTACAGGACTTTCTCATAACGATATCTATTTTACATTTATATAAATACATTTTCTTTATCTCTAAATTGCGCATAAATACCAATTTTTTCCAATCAACATCTTTTTCCACATAAGCTAGTAAATGATATAGATAAAATTTCTACTTGTCGGCTACACGATCGATATTTAGCTGTGATATCATCTGAAAATACAACTTTAGCTCGACAAAAAGATAATGAATAGGTTTAAAAAGTTAATTTAGCGTAGATGTAGTTTTGTTTTGCAACGTTCAAAATATAACGCTTCCTTTTCTCGCAATTGTAAGGGCATTATAAATTCGACATGCATTAAGGATAATGTGGGTTATATTTTAACTTGATTCGATTAAAGTGCATGCAAGATTGCATATTTTCGATTTCGTTTTAATTTGGAAAAAAATTTCTGTTCCTTGCTTTGGTTTTCCAATTAAATCTTCATGTATTCTTTTTTTAGTTTGACATTTTTACAAATTTCAGTTTCAAATAACGCATCTCTTCGGATGTCCCTTTCCAATCTTTGAGAATTACACGCGAAACGAGAATTGCACGCGTTTACATTGATTTGTTATACTAATTGTAAGCATCATTAGAAAAGTGATTACTATTCTTATTAAATCGATCATCATTCTAACGAGAGAACACGTCGTTATTTGTCTGTTTCGATCTTTATCGAAAGAAATTTCACATGTATTATTAATGTGAAATAACAATAACGAGAAAAGAACTTTGTCAATTTCACAAATATATGATTCTAAACAACAAGGAATTTTGCTTTGATCGCTAAATGCCATAGAGTCGTAAAAATCGTACGCAAGTTGGTCATAAAATAAAAGGAAGGAGTGCATAAAAAAAGTATCGAGTAGCGCCGACCTTGAAGAGGTCTTTGTCAACGCGAACGTCGTTAGTATTCCGCGTCTTCTTCTTCTCTTGCGAACGTTGTTGGAATATAAAAAATAATTCTCCGATCATCTACCGCTGTTTTGTACAATATGTTTTTCCGTATGTAATCTTAAGTAGCTCTTTAGTACCTTTCTGTTGAAAGTATAAGGACGTAAGCTAAATTTCGGAGAAGAAAATTCAAATGAACGATTTAAACGAGAAGTGTGAAACACTAAAATAAAAAATGATTACATTATTTTTAAAAGATTTCAAAAATCCAAAATTCTGTATTTAAAATAAATGTATATTAATACAATAAGTAAACTGATATGTAAATTATCCTCTCCTGAATCATGTCATGATAGTAATATTCGAGTCGAGTATAAATAATATCAACTGCTTCGAGAAATGCTCGCGACACTTATGTATAATGATTTTATCTATCGCTGTTTCGTCACGTTGCATCGACAGAAAAGCGATTGATTTACAATCGATTTTATCGTGATTATGATTACGGAATAATTTGACAATTCTCTCTTTGTGACATTGCGTGTATCTTTTTATTTCTCTTTTTATATTCCCCACAATAATTCCCCACAAGCCAAACTATAGACAAATATCGACCGGTTGAATACAAAGAATTGAATCGGTTAACATTGGTGTTTGTCAATTATTTGTCATTTATTTGCTTGCGAAACATTATTATCTCAAATTCGGATAACAATATTTCAGCTGTGAGCATAGATTAGAAATGATGAATGTTGAGAGCGAGTGATTCATAAAAAAGACCTTAAAAGTTGCTGATTCAACAAGCACGGAAGTAAAATAGTTGAGTTCGCAAGTAACGCGCGAGTGAAGTCGATGCGAGTCGCATGAGTCATCGAGGTGCGAACGACACAAATGCCAAGTTTTCTTGTTTTCTATCGACGATAAGACGTATTCGAAGTTTCGAGTTTCAACATTGCCGTTGTCAATGTCAGTTGATGCTAATGCGTATATAATGCCCGATACATTTGTTAATTTTACAACTGCGTTTTACTTAAAAAAGAAAAAATAAATAAGAGAGCTCAAAGAATTCGGAACGATGCGATACGATAGGAAATAATAATATCGACGACGGGAGAGAAACGAACGTTTCAGTGATTTAAGATTAACAGTTAGGTACAGTACAAACGGGAACAATTTTTAGAATAACCAACTACTAGTGTATTACATAACGAACGACGGCACGTGCAAATTCCACGTGTCGGCTTACGTAAATCGCAGGGACGCGTTCGCGGAAATAGAGATAGCGGTTTCGAGTCGTCGAGAGATCAGACAGTCACTTTTGGCACGCGATGACGACGACGACGACGACGACGGTGGTGATGATAATTGTTATTATTATTATTATTATTATTATTATTATTATATATTTGACACAAACTAATTTGAAAATACTTCATCTTTAATGCGTCTTGTTGTTGTCTCTTGAATTTAGCCGATGATTTCTCACTCCTTCCGTCAATTCCTTCATGCGACTTCGCCGTCAATTATTTCCCGTTATTCGTTTTATTCCGAGTCAATCTCTCCTTCGATCTATTTTTTTCACTTTTCTCTTTTGAGATTTACATAATTCAAGGCTTACAAGGATGAAAGCCGATTATTTAATTGTAATGTAAGAAAAAAGCGATCCAAGTTTCATTATCTCTGACGCCGGGGAATGTTCTGGATTCAAGATCGCCGGCGCGTGTCTTATCGATAGGTATTAGGCATTACCCGGTATATCTCGGTGAGTTTGTCGTACGCGCGACGCGTCGCGACGCCGCTGTTATGTACCTTGGCTTTTTGTCTTTCTTGTCAACGCGCGTGATGCTCGATTACTAATCGCTCGTGCTTGAGAACAAATGAGTATGTTTCGTCTTGTGCAACAGCCGCGTAGCTTTGCTTTGTCCTTCGATTCGTACGTTAAAAGCTGTCGAAACGCCGCGTCGTGCTGGGATAGCGATATCGACGTGATATATTTGACTTGCCTAGAAAGAACCCTATAAATACCCTATTGTCATATCAAACTCGACTCGAACTTGATATGAGTCTTCGATCGTGATAAAGAAATCCTGTTATTTGTTGAATTTTAGGTTGGATTGTAAAATGTTTAACGGTAACATTTTGCTGTTTATACGATGGTGGCGGAAAATCCCCACAAAGGCTTGTCAAGGACTCTAAAACCGCAATGTAATTCTTCATCTACAAAGCAAAAATTATTTTTCAACAAACGACATAATCGCGGAATGGAAGAAGGAATGCCGCTGGCTTAAAAGAGTAAAGGTATAAGGAACGTAAAGGAACGAACGATCGCTAGATCGAGCGAGAGATGAGAATATCTATGATCGGATCTTTATTATTCCGATGACGACCGGTGATCCGTGATCCGTGTTCAGACTGTGAATCCGATGACGATCGCGGTGACAAAGGCCAACATACGCGATCTCCACAGAGTGTATTTCCGTGTTGAGGTATATACATTATTTACAATTTCCTAGTATAATTTACGAGAAAAAACGAAAGGAAGATACGTACGGGATTAGATGACTTGGCATCTTGCCGAGAACTGGAACGTTGGACTGGATCGTCAAGATCACGTTGTCCGATTATCGACGAAAAAAATGAATTTTACCAATCTCATGTCACCTTATGATCTTTGAAGTACAAGATTTTGATTATTGAAAAGGATAAAACGTTTTTGTTTGTGTAAAGTTTCATTAACGTGATAATTTTTGCAACACACGCAGCGATATGTTTTTTTTTTTTCTAAATATGCATACTCACCAACGCGATAATTACCGTCTGACGTTACAAATGACTTTTCTATAATCGTATAAATAAGTGTATCGTGCGATGACGCGTAACACAGCAATATGTTTTATTAAATATTATTCTCGCGAGGATTAAGATTTTGGCTTTTGGGCATCTACACGTGCGCGCGCGCTTGATTAATTTAAAAATGAATCTGAATCTTTGTTCTTCAAGTTATCTGTTGAAGAGTCATCGGATTGAGAATAGGTAAATGTCAGATATCTTTCGCGTTTCTTCTACTTGTTCAACGACGCTAAATAACAAAGAGTGATTTTTCGGTGCGTTTACTTAAATCGACAATTAAATTTCTTAATCGCGTCAAATGTGTGATTTAACATTTCAACAGAGAACTCGCGGTATATATATGTAACACGTATGTGTGTTAACTTTACTCGCGACAATGCAGAAGAGAGAAACAAAAGTTCCTACGGTAATCGCGAGAAATGCTCCAAACGTGATTCGTTATAGTAGTATCAAGGAATTGCGTTCAGACATTGTACATCGCAAAGATCTAATCTACGATACCCGATGTAATCGCATATCGCGTTTGGAGATAAACATTTTTCCACGGATTGCTCGTCGTCTCAACGCGAATTCATATGTGCAATGCGATTTTGCATTACTCATATATGACGCATCGCGCGTGAAGAGTACATAATTACATTACAAAATTTCCCATAAATCATTAATTTTCTTTCTTCCGAATATCGGAGCGCAAATTCCGCTGCAAGGCAAACTCGCTACATGATTTGCATAATATGCATATCGAAAACGAATTGATAAAACTGAAATTTAATTTCCTCACACAGTGAGGAATATAATTATAATTATATAATATATATTTTTGCCTTTGGTGTGAAAGAGAATGATAATTGTTATTTTCTTACCGCGGCAGTGGTGTCACTGATGACGACATTGGTTGGTACCGCCTCCGTATTCACGTATAAAGTGAGAAGCGTTATCGCTATCAGATAACCATCAACTCTTTGTAGACGTGAAACTATCTCGGTCCACCTCGTCATATTTTCGATAACGCCAAGTTTCCACTGTGGAATGGATCACCGTGACTTTTTTTCGCTTCTTTACACTCCTCTGGAGAACACTGAATGCACAGGTTGCACGTGTCGATTTCCCTGCTGTCGTAAAACACGCCGTCGTACCGTCGAGAATCGTGATCGCGAGGAAGACGATGTGAAATCGATGAGATAGGTATTTTTGGATTGGATTTAACCAAAGTTTTAATTAAAGTATTACTCTCTCCAGGAAAACCGTCCCGTGTGCACGATTTGAAAATCGAGGTCTCGTCGTTATCGCTCGTATTAATTTTGCGAAAGGAAAGAGAGATTCTCTCGATATCAGCTGTTTCCACTATCCAGTATCTTACGGACGGAATACCGCTTGGCAGGGCAGTCTTAAACGCGGTTGCCACAACACTATCGATCTCGTGGTTCGCCACGGGGTTCTTTCGCTCTGTTGCTTCGAGCGTGACTCCTCGGCTCGCGTGTACGCGTCTCGCATGCACCTCGTTCGATTTTCAGTTCCGACAGAGAGAGAGAGAGACCTCCCTCTTCTCCGATTGTGCGGAGATTGTGCTCGTTTCGATCGAATCCTCGAGATCGAGGAGTGAAGGAAAAGAAAAAGAATAAAAAGAAAAAGAAACAGAGAGAAAGAAAGAGAGAGACAGAGAGAGGGGAGAGAGAGAGAGAGAGAGAGAGGAGGGAAGAGAGAGAGAGAGAGAGAGAGAGAGAGAGAGAGAGAGAGAAAAAAAAAAAGAGAGAGAGGGGAGGAAAGGAAAAAGAAAGGTCGATATTGATAATAACGCGTAAGGATAAATCACTGTCAAAGTGATCCACGCCAAGGAAGAGGAGAATCGACGAAAAGCGCGCGGGTATGCGGAGCTGCTCTATCTGGAGTCCACCGCTACTCTGAATCATAATCAGTCTGCCACTGACTTTTATCGAGATCTCCCACCATAGGTAGGCGATGGCCACGGTCACCACTCGCGCGCATCACGGCGCTCCTACACGTGCACGTAGGATACATGTGCAACGCTGCTGCCATCGCGTGCACAATAGTGATCAGATCGGGTGCATAGGGTAACATTTTTTTACGAAATTTTAGAAAATACAAATTTTATTCCCAATCTCTCCTTCAAATATTCTCCTCGAAATATTTTCCTTACTCACCATCACCACAGGCACGAAACATCACAGGTCTTACAATAATAATTTTTTATAATATTTGTCTTATCTCTAACTTGTTATTACTGAATCGAGATTGAGTCGAATTGCCGTTCAACTATCAACGACAAACAGTTGAGAAACTGAACAATTATAGGATGCTACTTGTTTGCCCTGTTTTGAATCAAAATTTATAGAGCTCGGTCTTGCTTGAGAATTTCTAGCTCTGTTGTAGGATTTAAAAAAGAGGAGAATGTCTATATTGTTGATATCGCATTATCGACTGATAACGGGTAATGGAAATTCTTAACATTGGTGTGTAATCCGATGATTACAACTCTAGATGATATGTCGTATTATTTTAGCGAAGGTCTATAGCTGGCTCTATATCACGTTTCCTTCGTTAATGATCCATTGTTAATTTTTAACAAATGATTACGAATCCCGAATTCCCGTTTGGGAAAGGTTAAGATACAGTATTATTGGTATCACTCTTATCACATATTTTCTTCAATCATTAATTACGAGAGGAGCGAATCTATTATCGCGACAAATAATCAAATCGATCCTTGCATGATATTTCAATTATATGTTTAAATATAAAGATTCTCAATATTTTTTTGAAGGGAACTTTTATCTCGGGAGATTGCGTGAGTAACTCTGTGACTCATTCGGGTTTTAGGCTGCTTTCTATTCTCAAGAATTCTTTTAGCAATGCCGACGACCGCAGACTCGATTCCACATCAGGATTGATGCATGAATTTCATATGTAGATGAACCTTTGCAACAAGATTTAAGTTATTTTTCAGTCGGTTTGCATTAGATTTGATTTAACGCGTTAGATTAATGTGTGTGTGTGTGTGTGTGTGTGTGTGTGTGTGTGTGTGTGTGTGTGTGTGTGTGTGTATGTGCGCTTGATGATATTTTAAGAGTGGTATTTCAAGATATTTATTGTATTACGCGGAAAGAATATTTTGATGTAAATTAATATAATAAGGTTTTACATTGAAATTGTGAAGTGTAAACTAATTTGATCAATAATTTTGCCATAATTATAGTACTGTTGTATAATAAATTTTGAGAATATTCCACTTATCAATTGGTTTATCGACACGTCATTGTTACAAAGGATATCTATGTATATTAATTAAAATCGTGAGTCTCGTGGACGAATCTTGTCTTGAATGCGAATGAATGCAAAGTGAACGAGTGAGTAAGCGTCGAATTTTTAAATGCGCGCGATTCTCGCTCTGCATTTTATTTCTTAACAAATAAAGATATGTCATTCTTTTCTTCTCCGATTCGTCTTTCGTTTGATTTAATTTGAAAAAAAATCTTTAGGTTTCTTCCTTCTTTGATTTTATCCACAATCATTATCTTCAAATCTTTTATAAATTCGCTAAACTCTTCTTACGCGAATGAAAAGTTTTTCATTCTCGTTATTCCATTCAAATATGAGTGTAATGATCTTTTGACACGCAAATAAAAGTCCAACGATTTGATTTCGGAACGATAAATGCGTACGTTAAAAAAGTGTTTTGCTTCGCAAAATTTCATTTTTATCTTGACAAAGGATAAAATGCACGATACATCTTTAGTACTCAGATGTATAATCTATGAATATAATCCAAAGATGCACGAATTTGCGATTTAGAATTTACGTTTGCATTCGATTCAGTTCTTCGATTTTTAAATTTAAAGATTGGATCCCGTTCATAATCTTATTTAAAATTTCGTGATTTATTGATTTAAAAAAATTTTGCATATACGGAATGTTTCAACTGTTTGTAGAAAAGAAACCGGTACTAAAACCTGTTTTTTTGTTTTGGAAAGTAATATCGCGCAAATATACATTAAATGAATGTATATCATGTGTGGTACATGTCACTTCTATGTATAATTGTTGAATAGAGTTGTAAGGAATTTGTCTAACG